ACAACAGGCTTTGCATGGAGTCGGTCCCGAGAAGCTCCTCACGCACGCGGGATGTCTTGTGTCATTGGATACTGCAAACTGTCCACCTTAAGGGCTAAATTTGCACGGGCATGATGTTTTCCTAGATTAATTTGGGGACTTTGGCAAGAGGAACTTGCCCCACACCCCCTCCCCAGCGCCCCAAATCAACTTTTGTGTAACAGTTAATAAACATGCTCCTGCAGGGCTATTTGAGGTTCTGCCCACAAGAGGCCAACACGCCTGCTGCTTAGAGACCCAAGCTCGTTCTATAGTGTCTTTCTCTGATCATCCCGAATAACTCAGAAAGCCCACAGCCTGTGCCTACAGACAGCACAGATCACCAGGCCATTAACAACACGCACTTTCAGCCTTTCCGGGGGACAACAGGTACTCGCACAATCCTTCCACTGAAGAGATAGGCCTCTGCCGTTATCTGTGGTCTCCCGGGTGCTTATCTGTGAGCCTGTGCCTTCAACAGCAGAGAAGGGGGTGAGTCCCGTCCTGTGCAGGCCGCTGCAGGCCACTCCAGCTCTTGTGAGCTCACATCTGCAATGCCTGTGCCACGCTCTGAAGATGGTATTTCCAATCCATCTCACGGCTGTTATCTGGCTCATTTCTCATCAGTGTTGTCTGACATGAAGAAAAGGGGGGGATGTCCAAAGGTTTTCTCATGTTCCCTCTGTGCTTAGCCTCACGGCTGTGTGAACCCTTTGGTGTACTTTAAGGGCTGAGCTGCGTCTGAAGGATCTTCTATACTGAAGACGTAGTGAGGCTTCGCACCAGTGTGGACTCTCTTATGTCAAGCCAGGATGGAGGCAGGACTAAAAGCCTTCCCAAATTCCTTACATTTGAAAGTTTTGTTTTTTTTGTTTTTGTTTTTTTTTTTTACTAGTATGAATTTTCTGGTGTTATGTATACATTTTAAAGGTCTTTCTAATTCCTTACAATTGTAGTTGTTTTTTGTTTGTTTGTTTCATCTGTGTGACTATCCTGGTGTTCGGTGGGTTGTGAACATCGTTTAGAAGCCTTCCCACATTCTTTACACCAAAAGGTATAGTGGGGCTTCCAAGGACCCCTTGCAGCTTCAGTAAGACACAAGATTTCCGTATAGTTTTAAACTGTTGGCCTGTAGCTGGGGCAGTCTTTCAGCTAGCTCTTCTAAACTTCTCCTGACTTCCTTGCCATCTTCCTTCCCAAGTGATTCTCACTACCTGCTTACAGCTCTGTGCTATGTTTCCTGCTCTATTCTGTGTCTCCTTCTGCAACAGTTGGCGTCTGCCTGAGTCTCCTTGTGCCTCTGCCTGCCTGGAAGGTCTGGCCCTGCTTCCTGCCCCCGCTCCAGGGCCTGAACCTATCAGCAGCAGGACAGCACCCAATCCAGCTCTTACGGGTTGTCCTGTGGCAGGTGAGGAAGGGGAAGCATTTACAAATAGAAAACTGGTGACGGTCCTTAGAAAGGTCAACACCAGAACCCTGCTAGCACTTAGCTCTCCACACAGAATTAACAACTGAAAATACAAGGACACATCTCAGTGTGAGGGAAGGTCCTGCCTTCCCTCACAAAAGGCTTCTCATTGTATGAATATGAAATATCCTTTGCTGAAGTAAACAGTAATCTACGTAAAATATTTAGTATACAGTGTTTACACTTAATGTGAGTTGTGGCTCACAACTGTCTGTAACTCCAGTTTCAAGGGACCAGCCATCCTCTTGTCCTCTCTCCCCTCCTCCCCATCTCCTCCCTCTCCCTCTCCTCCTCTCCTCATTCCCCCCTCCTCGGCTCTCTCACTCACACACCATTAGACTTAATAAATATTATTTTTAAAACTCCAGTATCACTGGCTTGCATTGTTTTTTGTTCTGTGTTTTACACAGGGTCTCATGTGGCCCGAGGTGGCTTCAAACTCTGTAGTACAGGCTGTGAGCTGCGTTTGTCTAACATAAATAACCACAGTGTTTAGGGTTGGGCGTAGAGGTTCATACCCGTTACCATGGCACCGAATGTCTAACGCAGCTCTCCACCTGTGGGTAGGATGACCTTTTCACAGCGGTCGCCTACGAACATTCAGAAACACAGATATTCACATCAAGAGTTGGAACATGAGCAAAATTAGCAACGAAGGTAATTTTAGGGTTGGGGGGTCACCACCACATGAGGAGCTGTAAAGGGTCACAGCAGCAGGAAGGTTGAGAACACTGCTCTAAAGCCTTGAGAACATGAAGCCTCTGGGACAGACCGAGACCCTGTCTCAAACAGCAGTAAAAAACAAGCAAAATTTGGCTCATCAAGTCTTTTGTTTGGGGTTTTGTTTGGTTGGTTTTAGAGGCAGGGTTTCTCTGTGTGGCCAGGGTCCTGGAACTCACTCTATAGACCAGGCTGGCCTCAAACTCAGAGATCCACTTGTTTCTGCCTCCGGTGTACTGAGATGTGCACAACCACAGTCGGCCTAAAGGTTGTGTGTGTGCCAGTCACCTTTTTCTGTTTCGTTTTTGGTCTTTTGTCCCCCAGCACCCCTCCCTCCCTCTCTCCCTCGTGAGCTGAGGACCCAAACTTGGGGCCTTGAGCCAAAGCCCCGACTCCTGAGCATCCAGTCTTAAGGGCACCACAGCACCACCTTCTGTTAGACTTCGGCTAAGAACGCATTCTGCTTCTGTGGACGACCTGAATGTGGTGAACAGAAAGGAGTGACGCTGTGTTACGGAGTTTGTGACCCCTGGAAGAAGGCCACAGACTCAATCCAATTATAGTTAGAAGATTTACTGACTACCTGCCAGCAGGACGGAACAGTCGCTGAGCCAAATCTGTGGCTGCCATGAAGGAGGGGGTTGCAGAAGGACTTTTAAAGGGGAGAACTTTCAACACCTAAGTAAGTCGAGTAAAAACTATCTTCCGCCAAGTTAAGTGACTAAGGCAACTCCGTCCAATCTTTAGATATCCGTGTAATCAAGTTACAGAACAACAACAAAAGCAGTTACACTTTTGGGTGGGGGTCACTCAGGGTTATCGCTGTTAGCAACCTAGGACGTGCCCGCGTCTGCTCCGGTTTCTCTCCGCTTCCCTCCTCTCCGACTTTATCTTCCCCCCTCCCAGCATCCACGCTCCTCTTTCTCTTCTCCTACGTTCTCCCACTGTCTCTGTCTGTCTCTCTCTCTCTCTACCTTTATGGCCAATTCAGGCCCTAACTCCTCTCCCTTTTCCTTCCCCCAAATAAATCTCTCTTACCAGATCTGTTGACCGCATGGTATTTTAAAATACATCCTAACGATCGGGCACTTATCTTCCGGGGACTGGAGTCAGAGACAACCGGCTGGTGGGTACCAAGATGGATGCCTAGCACAAACGGAGCTTCTTTAGCCAGAAAAGCTGGACAGAGATTCCGAGACATGTACTCGTCTGGTCCTTGACTCAAAAACCAAAACGACATCCCCAGCCTCCCACTGTAGGAAGGCTGTCTCCTTGCTGAAGAGCTTCATGTGGGGATCAGCTATGGCTTCCCTCACGCAGAGCTTTCGGCGTCAGCCCCAAGCAGTGGTGAGGAGAGAGAGGGGAGAAAACAGCAGGGACCTACGGTGGGCCCTTGACACACAGACGTACAGCGAGCCACGAGCCCCGCAAACCAGGGGGACGTGAGTCTGACCACTTACTGCGCTTGCCATTCAGGAGAAACATCCCAGCCCTTCCCCACCACCTGCTGGCTCTCCCTCTCCCCTCTTCACACCCCCTATACACACACACACACACACACACACACACACACACACACTCCCACACATTCCCCACCTGACACAGGCACGTTCCCCCCTCCTGTGCCCTGGGGGAACCGTGACAGCTGGCGGCTTCTGTCCCCAAGTAAGGAGGTCCTACTTCGTGACGTTTGTCTAGAGCCCCACTCGGCCGCCTTTGGCCTTGGGTTGAATTCACTTTGCGAAGCACCGAGAACCTTGCAGGGGTGGGATGGGGCAGGGTGCGGAGGTACTGGGGGGAGGGACCACGGGGGCCCATGACCTTAAACCGCCCGCACCCGTTATTCTCTGGGGCATGTAGTTCAACCAGAGTGTCTAACGCCGCGGTGGCTTATGGGAAGGGCAAGCCAGCGCCTCGAATCCTCCTTTACACTCGCCACAGTGTCTGCTCTGAGCAGGCTCCGGAGAACTCCTCTGGGTCAGGGGCTTCGCATGAGGGTGCCAGGAGGTCCGGAAAAGGCATCTAAAAAGCAGGATCTGGATTTCACCTAGGTCTCGCGAGCGAGATCCCTCTCAGCTGTGTGAGCGATTTGGTCCTTAGGACCAGTGCCCTGGACTAGAGCTTGCCCCCACCCCTTTTCCCGCGAGGCGGGGTTTCTCTCTGCAGTTTTGGCGTCCTAGAACTCGCTCTGTGTAGACCAGGCTGGCCTTGACTCACAGAGACCCGCCTGCCTCTGCCTCTGCCTCCTGAGAGCTGGGATTACACGCATGCTAGCCCAGGCCCGGCTAATGCAGCATATTTAAATTAGCGGCTCTCAAGTGTAAGCAGAATAAGTGTTCCGGTGAAGAGAGGGTGAGCTTTGCTCCAGGGGCCTGGAACTGCACGTCGGGGAAGCTCCGAACACTGCAGCAAGAGCGGAGAGCAGGCTGTGTACTTCGGGGAACGCGCTCCGCGATGGCCTCTGGGAAATGTAGTCCTGAGCTGGGTCATTGGCTCCGGTCCTGGCCGCGCTCCTGTTACTGCAGTAAAGATCTCCGTCCCACCGCAACACGGTAAAAGCTTCAGAGGATTCCAGCCATGGGTCCTGGAGAAGCTCCCCCTTTAGAAGTCTCCTCGTGCTTCCTTTCTCTCTTTCAAACATTCTCTACTTGCAATCTCGGACCTGAAAACTCACCCGAGGAGTCTGGGGCAGCACTGCCTTCTGGGAAATGTAGTCCACTATAAGAGCGCAGCCACATGGCGGAAGTGGCTGGAAAGAGGTTGTTCCGGATCATCTCAGTGCCCTACCCGACCTAACCGGGTGCTGTCCCTGTTGATACTCCCTAGTCCTTGGAGTTCGCAGCCTCGGGGATCACACTTTATACTTTTGAGGTGAGTCTGCCCCAGGTTCTAGGCGCTTTGGGTATGGAGCCCCGAGGCCTGCGTTTGTTGGTCGCTGGCTGCTGGCTGCCTCTAGAGGACCCACCCGGTTTCCGGGATGGCGCTGGAGGTTTAAGAGGTTTCCTCCGCAGGGACTACGGCGGGGCGAGTGTGACTGCATGGGCGAAAGGTTTTTGGAGGATGTGGATTGTACAGGAGGGTGAGAGAGAGAGCGAGAGCGTGCGCGGGGTCTTCGGAACGTAGTTACCGGACTAGAGGATGTAACTGTCTGCGCCAAGTGTGGGGGTCGGGGGGTGGGGGAGATACGTTTGCTCCTTCCTGTAAGTCAAGTTTACTTGAGAATTTGGGGAAAGAAAGAAAGCTAGCTAGTCGAGATGATAAAGATCTCTGTGCACAAGATAGGTTAGTTTACCAATCAGCGCGACTTTAATGTAGTCAGCAGCCAGGGAGAGTGACCCACATTTCTAATTTCAGCACTCTTGCTGCGGAAACGGGAAGACAGTGAGTTTGAGGACAACCATGGGTCCATAGTGAGTTCCAGGCTCTCTTGGGCTTCATAGTGAAATCCCGTCTCAGAAATGTACGAGTGTATAGAAATTGTATTTGAAAAACCTTACTGTGGGACATGCTCAGAGTAGGCGCTTAGTGTCTCTCTCTTTTTTCCCCCCAGCTTTTCGAGACTTTTTTCTTTTTTTTTTTTTCTGTGTAGCCTTGGCTGTCCTGACTTGCTTTGTAGACCAGGCTGGCCTCGAACTCAGAGATCCACCTGCCTCTGCCTCCCCAAGTGCTGGGATTACAGTATGTTGCACCTAGCCAGGCTGAGTTTAGTCTTGTTTAGGGAAAACTCTCAGTGGATCTCAGTGTAAGTTCCTGTTGGCTACCATTAGGGAAGTCAGAATTTGGAGTTCCTGATTCAGGGTGAGCAACTTGAGGTGCTAAAAATAAGACGTTCTCAGCCCCAGGCCTTTTGACAGGAGACACACACAGTGAGCACAGTGGGTCTCTGTTCCCATCTCCACCCTCTCCAGCTTATAGTTGCAAACGTACTCATCAGTGTGGTGGATTTAGATGGCCGGGGCTTTTTGAAGGTAATTACATGGGATTAGTGCCCTGGCTCCAGGGAGCTGCCTCCCCTCCCCGGGTCCAGGGCCTCCATCTGTGGACTAGGAAACCAGTTTCCATTAGACCAAACCTGGCAGTGTTGAGACAGGGATTTCTCTGCCTCCACAGCTGAGAAACGAGTTTGTCGTCTCTAAGCCCCCGAGGCACTGGTGTTCCGTTGTAGCAGCTTAAGTGGACCAATACGGTGCCTGACCTGTTCCTGCAGAAATCATTTGAAGTTCCTGAAATGTGCTCTGCTTTTTTGTTTGTTATGGTTTCCAGAGAGTTCAGGTTCCTCTTTTTTATTTGCATGAGGTGGAGGAGTCCACGGGACAGCCTCTCTCACGACATGGGGAGTGCTTTCCACTGTCGTGGGTGACATGGGGTGGGGTGATTAATAATGGGGTGAGGGGCAGGGATGGAAGTGAGGTTCGGGATGTTGCAGATTATTGAACCCCTCGATGATGGTAACGCCGAAAAGTGACCAGCTTGGAGCCGTAGCTTTGATTTTTGGACAGAATTTCTTATGTTTTTGTTGTTGCTGCTGGGCTGAGCCTGAGTCTTCAGTGTCAGGGAGAGTTTCTGTTACTGAGCTCCACGCAGAGCCCGGGGTCAGTCTTGCATGTGGAGGGGGATATCCTGTCAGGAAGAGTCTCCAGGAGCAGGGAGTCCCTTGTGGTTCCTTTGGGAACTCTGGGAAGAAAACTGTCCTAGTCTCCTGAAAGATCCTAGTGATGGTGGAAATAGAAACTCTGCTTGCAAGGGCTGGACAGATGGCTCAGTGGTTAGAGCACTAGCCACGCTCCCAGAGAGTCTGTGTTCAAGTCCCAGCACCCACATGCTGCTCACAGCCATCCATAACTCCAGTTACGGGGGAATCCAGGTCCTCTTCTGACCTCTTGGCACCAGGCTGCATGCTACGCAGGTAAAACACCCATAAGTGTAAAATAAATAAATCATTAAGAAAACAATTCTGAGCATAAACTTTTAAAATCAAAGGAGCCGGCATGGTGGCACATACATTTCATTCTAGCACTTGGGAGGCAGAGGCAAGCAAATCACTGAGTGGGAGAGCAACCCCATCTACTTAGTGAGACCTCATCTTTAACAAAAGAAAAAAAAAAAAAAAAAAACTATGTTCATAAGTGGGGTTTTCTGTGCATGCTTACAGATGAATGACAGGTTTGTCCCTGGTGACATCCTGAGACATTAGGGTTCTGCCCTTGTGATAAGGGATATGAGAAAGGCACATCCTTACCCTCTTCGTGAGGCAGGAAGGAAACTTCCTGGGTGGGCAACAGGCCTTGCAGACTGTGGGAGTAGGTTCTGCATCGTCCCTGTGAGTGTTTCTCTAGCATTTCAGTCACAGTTGTGCTGTTGTTGCTGTTTGAGAGAGTCTCCCCGTGTAGCCCCGGCTAGCCTGGACTCTGTGTGTGTGTACCAGGCTGCCCTTGAACTCCCAGAGATCTCCCAAGGATCTCTCCCAGGAGATCTGACAAGGATTGAAGGCCACAGACTTCTTCACCCCGCCATGAATAGAGAATGTAAGTCGGCATTGGTCTGTATACAGACTGAGGCACGAGAGCAGGTTTGAGGATGTTTGACCTAGTTTCTCCCAATTTCATCTTCCTTCTCCAGTTCTGCAGTTTTCCCAAAGTGCCCAGAAGAGCAGAGAAGCATGGCTATTGTGGATGTCAGCACTGTGTTCAAGGTGAGGCGAAATGTCTTCCGTCAGTTGTCCCCTGGTTGCTGATTCCTGAAGTGGGATTGTAACCGCGTTGTCATGGTAACCATGTACCAGGTTTGCCAGCATGATTCTACTTTCTTCAGCATGTGTGAACTATAGGAGACTGTATGCTTTTTTCATCCAAGCAGGTCATGTAAAGAATCCTAATATCTGTGTATTCATAACTTGACTTTATCTTTCTATTCCACAATTTCCTTATCTGAAAGTGGAGGAAGCATTAGCGCTTACTTTAGATTAGTTTTAACTAAAGTGATAGGTGTGAGGTCATTAGCAAATGCTGGCACATAAAATACACCAAATGAGAGATGATGATTGGAGTGTGTACATAGTCTTCTATGACTCAGGAAAAAGGGAAGAATAACATTCAGGACTGCCACAAATTCAAGGCCATCTCAGGGCACCTAGTAAGTTCCAAGCTCAGCACACAAGATTCCATCTTAAAAATTAAAAAAAAAAAAAAAAAAAATCCACAAAGGAAAATGTTGGTGTACTGGCAAATAAAGAAAAATGGTTTAGCTTTTAAATTTGCAGGTCTTCATATTTTTATTTTGTTTAATCATTTAATTGGACAGTCTTAATATATAATCAGCAGATCACTCTGGCCTTGAATCCATAGAGATCTGCCTGTTTCTGCCTCCCCAACGACTGGGGTTAAAACCAGGATGTTTATTAACTTTTCCTTAGTCTCATGTAACTCAGGCTAGCTTTGAACTTGGTTTAGAGCCAGGGATGAACTTGAACTTATGACCTTTCTGCTCTGACCTTGTTTATTGGCTGCACATCTGTTGACACCCCTCCCCCAGAACAGAGATAATAACTTCCTACTTAGAAAACCAAAAATAAATCTTTAAAAAGGTTATTATTTTAAATTATGTGCATGTGTGTGTCTGTCTGTGGTTATCTACTCCTGAGTCACAGGTGTGTGGAGAGAGCAGAGTCCACACCCCTGAAGCCAGAGCAACAGGCCAGTGTGGCTCACCTGACAGGATGCTGAGAATCGAACTCAGATCCTTGGGAAGAGAGGTGCATACTCTTAACCCCTCAGGCATCTCTCCAGCCCTCACATGTTGTTTTTAGTTTGTTTTGTTTTCTTTTTGTTAAATATGGTCTCTACTTAACCCTGGCTGGCCTGAAACCCCTGTAACCCAGGCTAGACTCCAGCCACCATCACTTTATAGAAAGTGTATTTTTAGGCAGTTTTATATTGTCTTTGATATCTAAGTTTATAAAAGTATATTTAGGCAGTTTATAAAAATGTATTTAGGCTGGATGGTGGATATTTCTCTGTAGTCCTGGCTGTCCTGAACTCACTCTGTAGACCAGGCTGGCCTCCAACGCAGAGATCTGCGGCCTCTGCCTCCTGAGTGCTGGATTAAAAGGCGTGGCTTACTTGGTTTTGTTTCTGTTGTTTTTGTCTCTTGAGTGTTAAGAATATCTCTTAAGCTCTTTTGCTGGTGGGGGTGGGGCCAGTGTTGGAGCTAGGGTTTTACTCTGTAACCCTGACCAACCTAGAACTCTGTATGTAGCTCAGGTAAGGCCTCCAACTCATGGCAATCCTCCTGCCTCAGCTTCCTGAGTCCTGGGATTTATGGGTGTTTTGTTTTGTTTTTTTCCTCAGCATGAGAACAGTTATTAAATGGAAGGAGAAGAGGGAGAAGTGTGGAGGTTTTCACTCACAATGAGCTCGGAGGAGCTTCAGGTGCTGGCCCTTCTGGGTTAGGCCCTGGTGTGTGGAGCCCTGCTGAGGGTCAGTCGCCAGAGGTCCCCAGCTGGCTGACCTCCCTGAGAGCTTTCATCAGTGGATGCCACTCGTGAGCCTCGTGGGCTGCAGCCTGGAGGTGGCCGGCTCCAGCCAGGACTTGCATTTGGAATGGCTTGCGGCTTTCCGACGGGAAAGCTGACTGTATTCCCTTCCCCAGTGGCCCTGCTTGGTGTTGCACACGATGACCCCTGTTTTCATTGAAGCGGGGGTTAAAGTGGAAGGCAGTGTCACTCACTCTCCTGAAATCTCGGGCAGGCCTGTTTGCACTGGGCTTCTTTGTGCCCATGACTGCTCAGTTGAGGCCTGACTCCTCAAGGCAAGGGCAGGTCACAGGGCCCGGGCAGTGGTCCAGCAGGGCCCCCTAAGGCCAGCAGCAGGGTAGGCCCTGGGTTCCCCAAGTTGCCCTGGGAAGGCTCCCTGAGCAGGAGGTCTGGGGTAAGCCCCAGGGGCAGTTGGGCCAGGGTGGGCACTAAGAAGGGCCTGTCCGGCTAGGCCCCAGGAGAGGAAGCCCCCGGCTGGTTCCCCCACGCAGCCGGCCATCCTTGAGGGTTTGGGCCAGCTAAGGCGTCATTTAGTGAGAAACTATCTGCCGGTTTCCCCGTGGCTGTGCTCAGCTCACTGCAGTAGCTGTTGCATGGGCGCCTTTTGTTTCCCTGTCTCAGTCGTCTCTGTCCTAGGCTTCTGACCTCAGCATACAGGCCACAGTACACACGTACAGGGTTGTAAAAATTAAAATAGAGAGAGATAGAGGGCGATCTTGAGTGGTCCACATCCCTGACCGCACAGGTTCGCTGGTGACCGAAGTGTAGGGACAGATGCGAGGAGGCAGGGGACCAGCTTCAACCTGCTGCTTCTCTGCTGGTGTCTTCTGTGCTCTGCAGCCTGTGGTCGTGCCACTGCTATTGTGTGTCCCTATTTTAATCATAACCAAAACGCCGATGCTTCCGTTTGAGCATGTCAAGTTCCAAAAGCAGGTGGCCTCCGCAACAAATGGCCTCCTCCTCTCGGGCAGCTGGTACAGGTACACTGAGGCAATTCCATTCTCTCGATGTAAGCCCTGAGGGCTTCAGTGTAGTGCTGGTGCCTTTTACCCTCAGCTGCAGCTCCTCATCTGTGGATCTGGGTTTGTTGGTGTTTCTTTTAGTTGAGGCTGAGTGTCATTCTGTAGACCAGGGTGTTCTGGAACTTGAAGCCCGGGTAGGCAAGCCCAAAACAGGAGTGCCAGCTCCCAAATAAGGACGCAGACACTTTTGCTAATGAGCAAGGTTGCCTTAGCCTCGGCTTGTTCTCCAGCTGGCTCTGAACTTAAACTCACCCGTTATGTTAATCTGCTTTCTGCCACCGTGGCTGTTATCTTTTTCCAGTCCTGGCACTTGTCTCTTCTTCTGTTTCCAGCTGACAACGCTTCCTGCACCTGGTTCTTTCCCAGAGTTCCTATCCCTGCCAGAAGTCCTGCCTCCTTTTCCTGGTCTTTGCTATTGGCCATTCAGCTTTTTAGTAAACCAATTAGAAGTTGTTGGAGTATTTACAAAATACAATGCAACCATAAAAATAACAGTACAAGTTCCTGGCCTGTCCTCAGCTGTCTGCTGGTATAGAAGCCAGCCTGTGAATAATACAGTACGCAAAACAGTCACCCCAACACAAAGCCATTAGGACACTTTTTAAACTAGTGATCGTGGGGGAGGGCCCAGCCCACGGTGGGTGGGGCCATCTCTGCGCTGGTGGTTCTGAGTTCTATAAGAAAGCAGGCTGAGCAAGGGGTGGGGAGCAGGCCAGTGAGCAGCAGCTCCTGCCTCTGGCTTCCAGCCCTGTTGTATGTTCCTGCCCTCACTTCCCTCGGAGATGGACAGTTACCTGTAAGCACAGGGGAAAACACGCTTCCCTCCCCTACACGCTTTGGTCGTGCTGTTTCATCGCAGTGGTATGTAAGTGACTAGCTCTTCTAGAACAGTAACCAGCTCTCTTAACTCCCTGCCAGCCCTCCTCCCAGTTTCCAGCCCAGCCCCTTCAAGTTTCTCCCAACCATTCCTCCCTCAGTTCCCCAGCAGCCTGCTTAAACAGCCCTTTCCCAGTACCAGCAGCTCCAAACTGCAACAGCTGTTCTAGACCAGCTGCTCAGCCCAGCTTCTCCTGGCTCAGCTGTCTCCTAACAATATCTTCTGCCCCAACTGCCATCTCTTCTCACTCTGCTAGCCCCCCTCTCTCAGCCTCTGCTGGCTTTTGTTGTTGTTTTTTGTTCAAGACAGGGTTTCTCTGTGTAGCCATGGCTGTCCTGAGCTCACTTTGTAGACCAGGCTGGCCTTGAACTCTCAGCGTTCTGCCTGCTTCTGTCTCCTTGAGTGCTGGGATTAAAGGCGTGTGCCACCACACCTGGCTCCTCAGTTGACTTTTTTATATTCTGTCCTGTTCCCAGAAATCCAAGAGGCAACCAGTACTGAAGGTCATAGGGTTAAGCAGTTCTAACAGCTAAGAATTCTTAAAGGGCCAGTTGACTAGCACATGGGGATCTTTTAAAGGACCAGACACACAAGCTAAATCATACTACAGTAATTTCAACTCTAACTAGCCCGCAGGCTAGCCCTGAGTTTGTAGCCGTCCCCCCAGTACTGGGGTAATGGGAGCGAGACCAGAGTGAGTCTGGTTGAACTGCAGGGTGTAGAAAAGCACTTACCCTCACACTTGAGAATTTACTCTGAAAGAATGCAGATTAGGGAAGAGAAACCTGCCAAGGGCGAAGTCCAGACTCTACATTCATTCATCTTGGTGGACGTCTGGAGACATGCTTAATTCTCCCAGCCCATGATATAACAGAACATGTAGGAAGTATGGCCAACAAGGGACACTTGGCCAGTGCCTTTTCATCCGGGCTTTCTGTTGGGAGTGCCTGCTGTGGTTGCAGCTCATTTTTTACTTCGGCCTCGTAGAGGTAAAACTGGGACCATCCAAGATCTCAGGCATGCAGTAAAGAAACACCTCACCAAGCAGGACATTTAAGGGCTCAGAAACGATTTCTCAGGAGCCCAAGGCCGGTTCTTTGAAATGTCGTTTCCCTGGTGCTGGGCGGGGACATGCCTTTTCCTAGAAAACCCTGAAAAAGGAGTCAACATTTGCATGAAATTATTTTCTTTATTATTGTGTGTGTTACTTTGTGCTTTTATTTCAGGAGTTGGTGGTTTTCAGGGATGTGGCTGTGGAGTTCTGTAAGGAAGAGTGGGAGTGCCTGGGCCCTGATCAGAGGTCTTTATACAGAGATGTGATGCTGGAGAACTACAGCAACTTTGTGTCCCTCGGTAAGGTCATCTGGACGTCAGATTCAGAAATTATTTTTCCTAAGAGCTGATGTAGATGGATATTAACGTTTAATATTGATTCATAAGATTATTAAATCAGTGGTTATATTTGACCCTCTATTATAGAAATGAAAGACTCAGACACCTGTTAGATTTTTAATATTCTTTTAACACTGGGGCTGGGCAGATCTTAACCCCCTAAGCTATCTTGTTATCCCCCAGCCACACATACCATCCAAAATTCCCATAAATGCTTGCAAATGCTCCATCTGGGCTGCTTCTCTCTACCATGCCAGTCCTCAGAGCAAGCTCCTCCCCGTCATGTGTTTCTAATTAATGCTAACCCGTGGCAACGTCCTTCCTCTTTCCTCCTTCCTCTCCTGCGCCTCTCTCTCTCTCTCTCTCTCGTGGTCCTGCTGCCCTCCAAGCCCACAAACCTTAGCTCTGCCCACCTCTCTTTTGCAAAGCTCAGGTATAGGCAGTTTTATTGGCCAATCAGGGATAATTTGTAAGGCAGGGTTACATAGCATCACCTGGTGTTTGTAAGCATTTTCTTGTAGAACTGTAAAGACCTCAGAGAAGAAGCTGTTAACACTTTAATAAAGAGTAGCTCCATATCAGCCACAACAGACGTGATGTTAGAGAACTGTGCTGGCTTTGTGTCCCTGGGTAAGGTCATCTGTATGGCAGATTCAGAAAATATTTTTCCTAAGGGCTGGGGCTGAAGATCCATGGGAGAAGCCCTTAACTGCTGAGGCCTATCACCACCCCACAGCCCCACTTCACAGATGGTAGATAGCTGCCTTTAAAGCCCTTGATTCACTGTACATGTACTTTCTCAAGACACTTTTCTACTTATTTTCTTTCTATCAGTGATTACAGCAAGCAACAACTGTTTACTAAGGTGCTTGCTAAATGGCTTGCTTGCTTGTTTTTCTGTCTGTCTGTCTGTCTGTCTATTTACTTAAAATCACAATCCTATGAGGATCTGCAATTTGTTTTAGGTTAAGTTAATTCTATAGCAGATGTCTTTTGCTGTTGTTGCTTGTTTCTGTATTTGTTTCTAATGTTCTCTGTTTTTGAGTAGGACTTGCTATTCCTAAGCCATCAGTCATTTCACTACTGGAGCAAGGCAAAGAACCCTGGATAGTCGAGCAGACAGGATGGTATTCAGGTGAGTATGGATGTTGGGAGCAGAGAGTGTGCTTTTTGGTGAAGCCCAAAGTCGTGGAGTGGTGGTTTGCGGTCTTCTCTGCTGCAGCGTATGCAGTGCCATGAGGCCAGTGTCGTGGAAATCATCTGACAGAGGGAGAGCAGCTTGTTTGTTGTTTGTCTTTAAATTTGGAGCGTGTGTGTGTGTGTGTGTGTGTGTGTGTGTGTGTGTGTGTGTGTAAGGTTCCTCGTACCGTAGTGGGTCCCCAGGATTAAATTCAGGTCTTCAGGCGTGACAGCAAACCATAAGCTGCTGTGCCATCTCACTGGCCCTGTTGAGCCATTTTTGATGTTGTGCTTTATAAAAATTAAGCAATGGCAACAGTGGTACAAAGAGCTATTTGTGATTTCGTTTTCTTGATTGACTGTTTGGAGGAGTCTGGCTCTGGAAGCGGCTGGGGGATGGCTGAAAGTCTGCTGCTGTGACTGTAGGATTGTCATTTCTTTCTTATTCCTGATCTCCCTTGTGTTGCAGGGTATTTGATCCCAGTGGGAACCCCAAAGTTGGGAAACCCAAAAACCCTGTTTCTTGTTTGTTTGGTTTGTTGGTTGGTTTTGGGTTTTGTTTTTTGAGACAGGGTGTGTATGTGTCTATGTGTAGCTGAGCCTGTTCTGGACTACCTCTGTAGACCAAGCTGGTCTTGAACTCACAGAGATCCACCTGCCTCTGCCTCCTGGGTGCTCCGATTAAAAGCATGTACCATTACTGCCTGTCTCAGGGGAGCATGTGACTCTTAATCTCAAGGTCATGGGTTTGTGCCCCACATTGGGCACCATTTCCCTTTTTTGTCAAAATAAAAGACTTTTTCTCTAACGTCAATAAACTGTATCCTATCAGGTAAAAATTACATTCACAATGTCTAGTCCATATGTAATTAGCAACCTTGAAGAAAGTATTCTACTATCTGTTCCATCTTGGTGAGTCCAAAGTTCTGGACCTAACTCACTTTGTATTAAAACTTGCATTACCAATCAAAAACCTTTTTAAACCTAAAACATCTTCTTAAATCCTACAGAACTTAAGCTTAATTGTAAGATCATAACTATTTAGTCTTTAACCACATTCAGAGACCTGAGAAGGAATAATATTACCTGAATAAACAGAAAGTGCAGAGCAAGCAGCTTTCCAAAGCTATAGAAATGACAGAAACTGTTGGCTGCCTGAACCCAAGATTTCTCTATAACATTGGAACATCATCTTCAGCCTTTGGCTCAGAACAGCTGACAGACTTTTCTGTGAGTCAGGTATTATGAAGGACATCTTACCTTGTCCTTGCAAAGCTCATCAGTTGACCTTCCTGCATCCAGTTTGTCCAGCATTCTGTCTGCAGTAGAAGCAAGGGCATTCCTTGCCCATTGGCTAGCTTGCCACATAGGAAGCCATCTCCAAAAGAATTTTGTGATGCTCATCTTCTTCGAAGTCAAAACGAGCTACTGCCAGGAAGCTGACACATCTCTTTGTCAAAAACTTCTCAAATTAATAAAACATCATTAAATCCCAAATTATGTAGATCTCTGAGGTTTCTGAAAACCATCTGTCTATCTCTAGTATATCTGAATTACTTATTTCCAGCCAAATGCTGATTGGTTAACTTATAAAACACATGGATTAATTAAACTAGTACCTAACAAAACCATTAGTTTGATTTACTGTTAGTTTGCAGTATTCTAAACAGTTTGTGATAGTAGCTTTCAAAAGGACTGAAACTTCATGTTGCATTTTTTACAGTTTTTATTTTTTTAATTTATTTTTTTGATGTACCTATGTAATTATTAAAAGTGCAATATGAGGGAGAAGAGGAGGGATGGGGCTACAACAAGGATGTAAAGTGAATTAAAAAAATAAAAGAATTACATAGGTACAATACCTTAAAAAGAGTTGATAACATAGTATGCTGTAACCAAAGTATAACCTTAATTTTGTATCAGTTTGCAAAGCTCTATAAAAGTAGATTCAGTAATCTTCCCTTTTTTCTGCTGTTACATTTTTTCTATACCCTCCTGCATTTTGAGGCTGTGAGTTGTGATTGCCAAACAGGTGATTGTGATCTTTTATCATTGGAATAAATTTTGACTGTGGATTATCACGGAGTTTATTTTATCTGGTATGGGGGGGGGGGGGCCCAAGACAGGGTTTCTCTATGTAGCCCTGGCTGTCCTGGACTTGCTTTTTAGACCAGGCTGGCCTCGAACTCACAGAGATCCATCTGCCTCTGCCCCTCAGAGTGCTGGGATTAAAGGCTTGTGCCAGCATGCCTGGCTTACTTTTTAAGTTTTTATTATTCTGTTTTGTGTGTGTGCGCCTGTGCTTTAGGGTACATGCCATGAAGGTCAGAGGACGATATTCAGGAGTTAGTTCTGCTTTTCAGCTGTGGCATGTAGAAACTGAACTCAGATTGTCAGGTATTGCACAGCAAAACCTCTTTATGTATATGTGGTATATGTGTGTCTCCGTTCACGCGTGTGTGAGAGTGCCTGAGTAGGCCAGAGGTTAATGTCACAATCTTTGTTGACACTTTCTGCTGTAGTCTTTCTTTGTGAGGTCGGGTCTCTCAATCCAATGCTAGCCTTCTTAGCCAGCTTGTCCTGGCAGACAGTTCCACTGTCTCTCCGCCTTCTGAGACTGGAATTGAAGGTGAGGCTCCATGCCTTCTGGGAGGCTCTCTAAGTTCTGGGGATCTGAAGTCTCATTCGCTTGCCTCAGCAAGTGCTGTAAGATCTCTATCTGGGGCTGGAAAGATGACTCAGCAGCTATGAATACTGGCTTCTCTTCCAGAGGACCCAGGCTCAATTCCCAGCACCCATATGGCAGCTTACAACCTCTGTAACTCCCATTCCAGGGGACCTAAGGCTGTCTTCTGGCCTCTGCAGGCAGGTTGATCGCACATGGAACACAGATGCACATGTAGGCAAAACACTAATACATATAAAAAAATAAAATCTTTAAAAAAAAAACCTCATCATTTTGTTTCTAATGGTTCATGTCTTCTAGTGCTAAATATGTACTTATTTTCTTTCAGATTTGCTGTCTGTAAATGAAACTAAAACTTTATCTCTAAAGAATGGCATCTTTGGAAAGGAATCACTAAAATGGAAAATAATAGAAAGAGTCACTGATTCAGCTTGCCTTGAGGAGTCGTGTTTTGGAGATGGTTGGAAATGCCGGGGACTGCCTGAGACTCAGCCAGAGTCTGCAGAGGAGTGTCTCCAGGGAGTGGCAGCCCCCCCGGAGAAGATGCCACCCAAATTCATCGAGCCTGCACCCATTGCTCTAGGTGAGATGACTCATTCTGAAACAAAACCCTTTGAGCAGGAAGCGGGGGAAGCCGTTATTCAACAGGTGAGAATTCCTACAGGTGACAAGCTTACTGAGATGTACGAGAAAGCCTTTGTCTACTACACAGATCCAAAGAAGCGTCAGCAGGCTTTTGCTGGGGAGAAGTGTGGGGAGTTGAAGGAGTGCAGCAGGGGGTTCGAGTATGACTTCCAGCTCGCCCCGTATCAGATCAATAAGAAGCCCTACCAGTGTGAGATCTGTGGCAAGATCTTTGAGAAGCACGCTTACCTGGTTCAGCACAACCGCTTCCACACGGGGGAGAAGCCCTGCGAGTGCAAGGAGTGCGGAAAGGCCTTCACCAACTGCTCGCTGCTGGTGCAGCACCAGAGGGTCCACACCGACGAGAAGCCCTACGAGTGCAAGCACTGTGGAAAGGCCTTCCTCTACTTCTCTACGTTTTTCCAGCATCAGAGGACACACACCAACGAGAAGCCTTACGAGTGTCACAAATGTCAGAAGGCCTTCAACAAGAGCGCGAACCTCACCAGACACCAGAGGATCCACAGCGGGGAGAAGCCCTATGAGTGCAATCTGTGCGGAAAGACTTTCACGTGGGCTTCCAACCTGAACGATCACCAGAAGATCCACACCGGCGAGAAGCCCTATGAGTGTAACTATTGTGAGAAGGCCTTTCTCTGCCACTCAGCATTCATGAAACACTATAGAACTCACACCAATGAGAAGCCCTATGAGTGCCAGGAATGTATGAAGGCTTTTAGGCAGAAAGCACATCTCATCCAACACCAGAGAGTTCACACTGGTGAAAAGCCCTACGAATGTAAGGAATGCGGGAAGGCCTTTGCCTGTCCCTCGTACTTTAATAGACACCAGAGAATTCACACAGGGGAGAGGCCGTACGAGTGTAAGGAGTGTGGGAAGGCCTTCATCGACTGCAAGACCCTGATCCTGCACCAGAGGATCCACACGGGGGAGAAGCCCTTTCAGTGCCGGCAGTGCGGCAAGGCCTTCCGGCAGAGGTCCCACCTCACGCAGCACCAGCGGATCCACACGGGGGAGAAGCCCTACGAGTGCAAGGAGTGTGGGCAGGCCTTCACTCGGCTCCTGCAGGTGAAGAAGCACCAGAGAATCCACGCGGTGGGAGAAATCTTGTGTATTTGAATACTGCCCTTTATTTATTGAACAGCCCCTACTCGGCGTCTTCGCGTACCTACAGAAGATCAGTGTTAATAAGATCGGAAAGATGGGCAGTACCTTCATGTGTCCCTCAGCTCTCTAGACGCTGCTGAGAGACGCCTTCTGGAGTGAGGTGTGCGGAATGACCTCTCCCTGTATTCAGCGTGTAATTTATACCACGTCTAGGACGGGAAACCCTTGTTCTCAGCTGCCCCTGATGGAATAAGAGTTTGTGAGAGAGGACCATCTGATGACTGTACCTTTTTTCTTTATAACCTATGGTTTATTGAGTACTAATTCACATAGGGAAAATTAAATTATGAATAGAAATACTAATTCTGTAACCAGTAAAAGGGTATTTAATTATAGCTATAGAAAATACCACATTGAGAACAATGGCGAGGACTTTCTTAGTGTAGAAGCAGCTCGTGCATCACTCGTCCCCTGTGTTGTAATATGTTGACGTCAGCCCTGCTTCAGATTGCTGCCTTTTAGCTGGTAGTATGGTTACTGTGAGGATTGAATGAATTCAGTAAAAGGAACCATCGTATAGTCACTAGCAAGGAGGAATGATTAGGAAATACTAGGACTCATCTTCTTTAATAGCCTTTGTCACTCTTTTTGGAATGTTCATATGCAATTTATCAATGATGTCGCCTGTCAGGGCTTATTCCATACCAAAGCTTTCCTAACGAGCTCAGGAGTGGGAGTGATTGGAATGGAACGCAGGCAGATTTTCACTTCAACTTCAGCTGACTCAGAAAATTGACTCTAGCAGGACTGCATAAAGTCACTGATGGGTGTGTTAGAGGGAAGATGAGCGCAAGAGTCCTCCACGGCAGAAGCGCTGTGTTTTCAGGACAGTTGGGTCTGCGCAGGGTGGGAAATGGAACAAATCTATAGTCTGTAACTGTCACAACAGGACTCTTGGATTCTGTGAAAAATGCAGTGTGAAAGTATAGCTTGCTTCTGTGTGAAAGATAACAGCAGACCTGTCCTAAAGCCTGCTAGGGCTCATTTGAATAAATGCTATAAAACATTCCATCAAGAAAGCAATAAATCTCAGAGTTGACAGCAGAAATATATATTATATACAATAGATCAATGAATTTAAAGAAATTTCTTTTAAAAAAAAAAATAAAATGGGATCACTGGGCTTTAAAAGCTTTTTCCAAATCTTCTGATACATAGGCTAGAAGTCCCAGGTCCTAAGGAGACCTTTGAAGGACACAAATGTGACCGGGAACTGAAACGTTCTCAGGCAGAAGTGTGGTCAGTTGGTTGCTTTTGGTTTATTTTGAGACTGAGTCTCACAAGTTAGTGGCAATCCTCCTGTCTCGACCGCTTGAGTGCGGACATTAGAAGTGTGTGCCACCACACCGGCTTGAACTCAGAGCTCTGAGCCTGCTAGGCATGGTTTTGCCACTGAGCTACATCCCCAACCCTTTGTGTTTTTCTGAGACAGGGTCTTGCCTAACTGCCTAGGCAGGCCTTGAACTCAGGAGCCCTCTCAAATAGCCACCACAGATCTCTGCCACCAGGTACAGCTAGAAAGTTTTACTGCTATAAAATAATTTGTTCAGTGTTATATCAGTTAAATTTGAAATGCTTAGAGTAAGTTTTGTGTGAATGTGTATAAATGTTTCTGATTGACTCACAAACCTCTAGAAAGTTGGAATAAAGCCAGTATACTTTTCAACAAAATAGAAAAACGTGCTGTGTTATAGTAAATGAAGGATGTGGTGTAGTGTTCAACAAGGAAGCTAAGCTTTTGTTTGAGATAGGGCATCATGTAGCCCAGGCTAGCCTCAACCTCGTAATCTTGCTTTAGCTTCCCAAGTGCTGGTTTATCAGATACATACCAAGGAAATTTGAAACATTATCAACATAACGCCTTTGCCATCCCTCCTTTTTATAAGGTTAAATAACCTTTTTACTGAGAAAAAAGTTAGAAATCTTAGAGTGTGTTGATTGGTGAACTCATGTAATCCCAGCACTGGGAAGGCCGATGCGGGAAAATTTGGGCTGTTCAAGCCCAGACTGGGCCAGATGAGACAGCAAGCAAAGGCAACGGACATAGAAGGAGCCAGTGGGAAACTGGCAGAATGGTAGGCATGAATTGCATCAGTATCTCCAGAAACTACTTGACTAGGCTGATTGCGATAGTTGAAGTTTTTTCCTTATTTAGATGAAATACTGGGTTGGTGTGGGACATCTGGAATCATCTCTTGGAAGGCAAGGATGAGATTGCTGTTGTTTCATAATAGCTTGGGATATTCTGAGCAATACCATCTCAGAGAGAGAGTGAGAGAGAGACACAAAGAGAGAAAGAAAGGAAAGGAAAGAAAGCTACAGAAGGACTGAAATTGAATGAGGAGAAAGACCCATGCTGTTGAGATATTAACCAAAGGAATCCCCCATGGAAAGAGTTTAAGAAGAAATGACAAAAATTATTAAAAAATTAGGGGAAAAGATGCAATGTTCAACAGTTCATTAAAAGAATCAGAATCGTTTTATTTTTTTGTAACTAATAGCATGGCCTCCATAGATAAGTAAAAGTTTAATAAACTACAGAGAAAGCCAGCTCGGAGTTCAACATACCTGTTAGCAAAATCAGGCTGGACCTCTTGAATTAATATCATTGAAAGGTCTAATGTGGACTCTTCCACATTTACAAAATATTCTCTTATATAAATGTTACTTTCTGTGTCTCGAATGTCAAGTCTGTAAGTATCAGTCCAGTCAAATTATACATAATGCCTTCTTACCTAGGCCTTAGTGATATTCTCCAGATACTTGGAAATACACTTTGAAATAATTTCAGAATAACCATTAGTTAAACTTAATGGAATTGAGGGGGAAATGATAGTTATGCATTTGTGGTGTGCACTGGACTGTTTTCCAGGAAACAAGTCAGTGAGGAATTCATCGAGATGGAGGTTTTTAAAAGGTAGAAGAGGAAATAAGAGGCTAGGAACAGCAATTCGGGGGAAGCAAAATTGATACATTTTAAACAATTGACATATTCTGGGGTAGTGTCTTTAGCTATTAAGACTTAGCTATTGAAGCTGAGCATGGCGGCTCAGATCTTCACTCCTAGCCTTCAGGAGGCAGAGACAGGATGACCTCTGAGTTCCAAGCCATCCTGGCCTACAGAGTGAGACCCTCTCTGGCGAATCACATAGTTCTTAAGGCCTGCAGTGTAGTACTAAGGAGTGTAGGCCCTGGGCAGCCTGGGCTACATAATGAGGCTCCTTCCCCTCAACACTGAAACTAAATTTCACACATTATTGAAGAATGAGTCCTTTAGTGCTTTTCAGAGTTGAAAGAGGAATTTATTAGAAAATAAAGATTAACATCCTCATTCATAGTCCTTGTCTATGTACTATTCCTTTTTTTTTTTTTTTTTTTTTTGGCCTTTACCATAGTTAATTAAATCACATAGTTAATTGATTAAATTACTGAGGTATGTAGAAGCCCTTTTATCCCTTGAAATACAGAATGAGGTGACGATCTTTGTACATATTAGCTTCTATACACAGATAGGAATTAAAGTTCATCCTTGGGGTGGATTTGCTGCCTCTGAGTGTATGTACATTTACAAAAGGCCTTGGTTCTTTAACATTGTGTTGTGCCCTTTTCTGAAATCTTTGCTGACACCTTTTTGTTTGTTAAAACTTTGATTTTGCTAGTCTGTTAAGTGAAAAGTGTTATGACAGTTTTGGTTTGCATTTTCTGCTGTATGTAATTTTTATCTAATGCCATATTTTCCTATTTTCAAATATTACATTTTCTGTGGAATGTCTCAATACCGTTTTCTGTTGAATGATTGTTTTCCTGATGGCTATGTAAGACTTACAGCCTTTTAGACTGTAGTTATATCAGTTTTCTTTTTATGTTTGGCTTGGGTTTGTAAACTTAACCAGTTTGTGATTGGATGGTGTTAATGCTTGTAAGTCATTTTTTCCATTCCAGTATGTTTTCCAAAATCCCATGCTTTGCTATCACGGCTTACGATTTAAAATGTAAATACTGACTGCGCAGCTTTGGTTATGCCGAGTTAGGCAGGAGCATGTGTTACCTCTCATGGATGGTGACTTGATTGTCTCAACAATTGATCCTATCAGTTTTAAGCAAACTCATAAGCTGAGTTCCTGTATTTTGGGGCTTACTTCCCTCCCCTCTAAAATTTGTTTTTATTTTGAGTGAAGTCTTGCTGTTTAGCCTAGGCTGGCTCTCTCCTCCTGATCCTCCTGCCAGCTTCCCATGTGCTGGGATTATAGGGGCATGCCACCAAGTCCACTTGGACCTCTATCTAGCTCACTGTTGCCACTCCCCCTCCCTCTGCTCCCTTCTCTTCTCCCTCCCCGCTCCAGTCTCTCTTTTTAAGATTTAATTTTAGCTGGGCATGGTGCACACACCTTTAATCCCAGAACTCAGGAGGCAGAGGCACATGGCTCTCTGTGAGTCTGAGGACAGCCTGGTCTACATAGAGTGCCAGGGCTGCACAGTGAGACTCTATAGTTTGTGTGTGTGCGCGTGCACGCCTTGTGCATGTGAGTACAGGTGCTTTCTTTCAGAGACATACGTGGAGCCAGAGGTATCAGCTGGCCTGTAGCTGGAGTGGTTGTAAGGCACAGGGGTGTTATGAACCAGGAACTGGACTTGGGTCCTCCGCAGAAGCATGCTCTTCAGCACGGAGCCAGCTCACCAGCCCCCCTTTCTTCGGCCTTGCTTTGTAGTCCTCAGGCCTGTACCCTGTGGCCCTCCTCCGCCCTCCGCCTCGAGAGCCTTGTCATTACCAGTGTTTACCGCCTCACCCATCTCGGATCTGTTTCTTGACTTTCTGGCCTGATGCTCTCCCGATCTCTTCTTGCATTATAATCAGTTGTTCAAAAGTCATTGCTTATACCAGGTATAAGTGGTAGTGCAAGCCTTTAATCCCAGCACTCAGGAGGCAGAGGCAGGTGGATCTTTCTGAGCTTGGGGCCAGCCTGATCTACACAGTGAGTTCCAGGAAAGCCAGGGCTACATAGTAAAAACCTGTCTCAAAAAAAAAAAAAAAAGTCATTGCTTAATAAAATGTTTTGATACTTGTTAGAGTACATAGCCAAGGATGGCCCCCATCTTTGATGGTCTTGAACTTGTCTCCCAGCTTAATGGCAGGCATGTACCCCCATGCCTGGTGGGTAAGTGGCTCAAAGTGTGTTACTGAACATAATAAATATTTGAAAACTGTTATGGTTTAAATTGTCCTCTTTGGGGGATTTGGGGCAATTGTCAATAAAGTACTTGCCATCCAAGCCTATGGACCTGGGTTCTGATCCCAGGACTCACATAAGATACCAAGGAGAGGCAGTATGCTTCGTAACGCCACTGTGGGGGACAGAAGAGGAGCAGAGATTGTAGGGCTTCAACAGCCAGCCAGTCTGGCTGAATCAGCAAGCTCCTGTCTCAGAAAACCAAGTGGGGAGTAATAGGCAGAGACACCTGTGCAGCCCAGGCTGCCCTTGAGCTAAATGATCCTCCTGTTTCATCCTCCTGATTGCTGAGGTTTCAGACATGGGCTATCACAACCAGCTTTAAGTTTTGTCCTTTGGAAAATTTATGTAATTTCTTACTCTAGAACTGAATAACCCTCAGATGGTGACCTCAGAATTCTCCATGGAAGTGGGAGATATCTGGATGGGCATGATTGGCTTGTGGTTGGAGGAAAAACCCTAAAATTTGGTGCATTCTTGCCTGTCTTCATTGTACTGGTTAGTTTTAACTGTCAACTTGATGCTCTTAGAGTCAGCTGCAGGGAGAGTCTTACTGAGGTGTTATTTAGATCAGGTTGGCCTGTGGGTATGTCTGGCAGATTGCTGTGATGGTTAATTGGTATAGAAGGTGCCCACTGTGGGTGGCACCATTCCCTAGGCGGGGCACTGAACTATGTAAAAGTGAAGAAAGCTAGCAAGCAATAGTCCATGCGTTTAGTTTCTGTTTTTGGATGTGGATGTAAGGCTTTAGTTCCTGCCTTGAATCCCCCATAACAATGATGGACTGTAACCTGGAACTGGAAGCCGAATAAACCCTTTTCTCCCCTAAGTTGCTTTTTCTTGGGATATTTTATCACATCCCCTAAAGCCATGCATCGTATTAAACTTTTATATTACCAAAGCAGATTCTATTTAATCCGTGGTATGTATAATAGGAAAGCTGAGTGTTGTGTTCCATTCATGAGCCACTTTCTAGATAGCATATTTTACCAGCTGTATATTATCACATGCTGTGAATAACACATATACTGAGTTGAAAAAACTGAGTCGGGTCAGTATTTCCCTGGTCCTAAGAAAGAAGAGCACACCACTGGCTAGGGATGGAGCTCTGTTAGTAGCTTGCTCGCTTAGGATGCACAAAACCCTGGGTTGATTTTCCCATCACTTCCTAAACCATAGAGTGGTGCACACCTGAACTCCCATCAACCTGGAGATGGGAGGCAAGAGGATCACAAAGGTGGGAAGTGAACTTTTGTGCCCGGAGGTTATCACAAAGATGGGAACATAGCTCAGTGGCAGTGACTGTATGCCAACCTCCCCTAGCCTCAAGAGAAAAGGGTTGGTACGTGTCTATCTTAACTAGCCAGGATCCCGAAGCAGAATCCTCAGTGGAGGGAGAGGCAAGCCTGGGCAAAGACCCTGCCATCAGTTGAGAGATCAACAGCAAGTACACAGATCTTGTCGGCAGTTGAATCCGAATAGTGCCTTACATACTGTCAGTAATGTTTGGGGTTTGGGGGGCTTTTTGCTTGCTTGCTTGCTTGTTTGTTTGTTTGTTTGAGACAGACTCTCAAATCTGCCAGCAGGTCTAGGCCTTGAACTTGCAATTCCTGCCTCAGCCTCTGCAGTCATTCGAAAGCCCACCCCTAGCGACCTAGTAACAGCCGTGGTTCGTCTGTTTTACCCCTTCAGACAGCGTGTTGCTTTGTATGTAGCCCAGGTTGGAACTCAGTAGCTCAGGCTGACCTCAGCTCACAATCTTTCTGCCTCAAACATCTCACGTTGTATTCGACCTGCACATGTGTGCCATGGCACACACATAGACTCTCATGCTCATATCGTGTGCAACATGAATAAATATAGCTAATCAGACATTTGGCAGGTAGAAAGGACTCTGGGATAGAACCAGGCAAGGGAGATTCGCCCAGGAAGACGCATGGTACCTGAGCAGAGGTAACCAGCTATGTGGCAGAGCGTAGATGAGTCAGGACACATCAGACTCGTGGGTGACTGTTTGACTGTTTCAGAGGTCACTTTGGCTCAACGTTCATACCACCCATCACATACAACAAGAAACTAGGGGCTGGAGAGATGGCTCAGAGGTTAAGAATACTGGCTGTTCTTCCAAAGGTCCTGAGTTCAATTCCCAGCAACCACATCGTGGCTCACAACCATCTATAGTGAGATCTGGTACACAGACAGAATGATGTATAAAGAATAAATAAAATAAAATAAAATAAAAAAGAAACTAGAGAAGTCTAGGCACTTCTTGTGCAGCAATCCAAGCATCAGACAAAAGCAGGGTGGCTGTAGATCAGGGCAGAATCTGCCCCAGGATGTTAAGGAAGTCTCCTGTGGCTGGAGTCAAGATGTCCCTCACCTATAGTGACTCCCCAATCAGTCACACACAATGGGGACACAAGAGCCACAGGTGTCCCAAGTGAAACACAATCCACCCCATAGGCAAGCCTTTGCACGTACCTGGCCCTAGGCACGGCTACAGCACGGGCACACGGGCACACACACACACACACACACACACACACACACACACATGCGATCATAATCAGCAGTCGAGGAATCCCTGCTGCCTTCACCTTCCCTACTCTGTCACCAGACACAGACAACAATTCCACAGACCTCTCCATCTCCCTCAGTCACCTGGTGCCCTCCATGCCCTACACAGGCGGGAGCATCCAGACACCTGGCACCAAGGCACCTAAAGAGGCTAAGCAAGTTCTCCCCAAACCCAGGAGGAGCACCTGCCCACTCCTCAGAAGTTCTTGGAGCATAAGTCTGGGCCAAACAGCACAACAGGCACAAACTGTTCCGCTGTTCATCGGAGTCGAGAGGAAAGTCCAGCTGGTAAAAACTCCCTAGAGGAGACTTTGATCAGGCTCCTCTGAACCCTCATTCCTGTTAGACCTCTCCCCTACCCGGTCAACCTGACATTAGCAGAGTCCTCGGTAAGACGCCCTCATTCTGACTCTTAAATTTCGCCTAGGGCTTTACCATCCACTTGCTCTCCTTCATCCTGCTGATTGGCCGTAAGCCCTCAGTTGACTATTAACAATACTTATTTGTTAAGGCCTTATTTGCTTAAGGTCTTCAGTTCGTAGCCCTCCCCCTGCCTCTGCTTCCCAGA